TTCCTAGGTAATTTCCACATAAGTACCGTTATCGCAGCTGTTGTGACTTGAATTTTATTCTCATTTACACTAGTTCCTCTTCATAAAGGGGTATATCTATAAGAAGCTTGCATTTTTTACGCATGTCTCCTTGTGAAACATAAATTCTCTGAATTTTGCTGTCATAAAAAAAATCGTAAGTCATGAATAAAGTCTACAAATCGGATTTGAATAGGTGTAATGATTAGATATATATACTACCATGATATGCATCAAAAAGAGAGTTATTTTGATCTCATCAATTCTAAAACTGGGAAATTAGAATTATTGCGTCCTTATACTGCATTGTACAGAAAACACGTTCCCACTCTCATTTTATATAAGTTCAAAAAGATAATTTATAAGTGTTTGCTGGACGTAAGATGTCTAGCAAAGAAGCCCGCGAGTATAATAGCGGATTATGCCAGTGTTTTGCCGATTTGCTGACGTTTAGAATACCTGCAGAAGAATCCTGAATCAGAGCATAGCAATTGTTCCTAAAATATCACTTTTTACGTAGTCATACGAAGTTTTTGTAAAAGCATCTGTTCCTCTAACAAAAACATATCAGCGAAACACTAGAAGTTGATGACAAGTCTCAGAAAGGTGTGGCTAATTCAAAGTCTAGGCTTTTCTTCTGTACAAAATCTTCTATTTCTTTGAAAGAAATACACATAACATCTGATTTTACAAAAGTACATTCCTAACATTTTTTACAATAATTTTGACCTACCACTGGTTAAATTCATCCTTCTCATTGTTCGCTTGATCTAGTGCATTAGCTTTTTCCAATGATTTCATTGTTTCTTTTTGTGACTACTTTTCTAGAACGTTCTGTATTGGACCATACATAATCCTCTTACAAAGATTGATCGGCTAAAAGTTTCTTTTTATTGTTTTAGAAATTAGAACGAGTATTTCTACGATCACGTTTCTCAGCGCTCATGTTGTGAAAGTTGATAACAGTGTTCTGCCTTCTGGAGAAAAAGCTGAAAAAATAGCTGAGAGAGACTTATGCCACAAAAACAGTTGATTACACTTCATTCTAAGTATTTATGCAGGAATTATTAAAATTAAAGGACTACTTTCTAACCATATTTCAATGCGCCAACAACTTCTTCTAGTAACTTACATTACGCATGATTTTTTGATCATACGTTTATATGGCTTGAACAGGCATGTTTAATGTCGAAAAGTAGTTCTACTTCGAATATTTGGTGGGCATTCACCCTGATGCCATTTGACTTTTGCCAAGACTAGCATATCACGACGTTTAGTCATATTTCCATTAGAAACAATAATGCCACCTTATCAGCACTTTCCATGCTCTCTTTGGCAAATCAAAAAAAAACCTTTGCTAATCATTTCCATACTTTAGTTGATTTATAGCTTCGTTTGAAGACTTGATAGGCAATATAGAAGACTTTATCAAAGCTTTTACTCAATTGAAGTCACAAACCATTAATCAGCAATAGAATATCATTTCCAGAATCTACTTTTCTCTTAGAAGTTTTTCCTTGCACTATCTTCCTCTTTCCTGTTTGCATTCCACAAATGTAATATTTATATTCCAAAATTCTTTCAAAATCTATTTATAGCTAATGGTATGAATTTTAAAATAATTTTCGAGATCATTATCATTCACTCCAGCATGTTAACAATTTACTTGCTGTTTCGCCTTCTTTTAATGTTTTACTATTAAATAATTTTCATTCTCATTTCAGCTCTAAGTAAGTGCCCTAATCTCAATTGAATAATTTATGCGGCTGGAGTTTTTGCTATATTTTCCTTATGCAGTTCTTTACAACATAGATTAAAAGCTAAGCGGGATTAAGCTGCATCAATGATTTTTCAAATATGTTCCTCTGAAATTTCGAGAACTAATCGTCTCTAGGAACATCTACAAACAATGTTGAATTTCATAAGTCATTATGTTTGAGAATGTCAAGCTATATGTAGCTCCTTAACTTCCAATAGTTTGGTTTTAGAAACCAATAGTCTAGAAGTCAGAGAAAATCCGAAAATTGGGAAAAATTTTCAAGAAAAGAAGAAATAAGAGAAGAGGAGACAAAGTGGATGACAAGTGAGAATCAACGCAATTCGGCATTGAGCTTTTTTGAACTTGTTTTCCAATGT